ACATTACGAATGCTTACTAGGTCTCCTCCTTCTTTACGGCAAGCTTTCTGAGCATCAGACCATTTTTTTGTTTCATTACGATAAAGGTAAAAGCAGTGGCCATTGTAGGGGATCCAGGGTGCTGTACAAAATCCGCTCTCTGCACCTATGAAGCATAAGAAGAAAAAAAGAAGATCAAAGAAATAGAGTCAATCAAGTTGTTTAAAGAGAAGGGTAGAGAAGGGATTTTTTTCTATACCTTCAGTAGGTGCAGGTAAAGGTCCTTCACTGTAGCAGATGTATCCCAGTTTCTTGTTGCATTTTAAACTTTGCCAAGAGTACTGAACAGCGCCATCAATAATTCCACACTTATATCCTGGATTAGAAACTGGATGTCCTACAGTACAGTGATGGTAAATGATACTTGTCACTTATGAGATGAGACTTGGCAACTTTCAATTCACAGGATTCTCAAGATATTTAGAAGCATGGTGTGTATTGTGTATAAGCATTTTATTTTTCGTGGAAATGAAATAGAAGCCTATGATTTCTACCCAAGAGTGATAAGGTTATGTGACACACAACGCCACCACAATAATTTAGCGGTTGTTGAAATTGCTGAACAATAAGAGGTTCTCTGATTATTGCTATATCTGCAGTGTGACTGGCACGCCAGCGTGGAAGAAATTTTATAAAAAATAGGGAAAAAAATATTGACTTGCTGACAGATAACATTTCTTATATCAATAAAAAAAGATGACAAACATGATCAAGATGACTTGCTGAAATATTTTAACAACAGTAATGTAAATTATCATCAGAATGGTAACACAAGCTCCTGAAACTTGAAAGAAAACTTACCTGAGTCCCAATTCAGATATGCATAAGGATTCCCATTAGACCACTTCCACACATAATCTAAATCCTGGAAGATCAGTCCAACCCAGAGCTTGTAATCCTGTCCCCAAGTTGCCCCTAATAGTGCTGTCAGTAGAGTTTAACAGACAAAAGAGACAGAGAAAACAAAAAGTTACCAAGTGTAATACTCAAAACATAATCATCAGCTGGAGCAGTGTCTCTCAGCTTAAATGAATTGTTTTGTTTTCAATATATTCAATGTACTGTGGAGATTTGTCTCCTTACCTGAAATATAAGCCTGCTCATGAGGATTGCTGATACTGAGCAGGGAGGCACTCTGCTGTTTGCAGCTGGCATCAGCCTGATCCCAGTTCAGCGCAGACTGTGTGTTGAGCTGATAAGATGCTCCTGTTGTGGGGTCTTTGTTCCAGGTTTCTTTGGCTGTAACACAAAAACAGTCAAAGTATTATAGTATTGCACTGAACTTGTATGTTAACATGGTGTTTCTCAACATTTCACACAAATGTAAAGTTTGGGTGGTTCTGCTTACGCAGTAGATTATTACTCTGAAAACCTGTATTAGAATTTGTTGTGTACTTACAGTTAGTTGGGCAGTAACCCCAGAGACCATGATCATATTTTGTTTCAACCGCACACCATTTACGGTTCTCTGGAGAGTCAATTGCAGTGCACTCCGAATACCAATTGCTTTCGTAATAGAAAGGAAACATGCACGGCCTCCCAGCTCCATTTCCTTCAATGGT